GAATGCAGGAACTGACCAACAGGTACCTGGCTGGGGGATTCCAGATGAACAATTCCCACTGCTACAAGGGCCTGCTCAGGCTCCTGCTGCCCTTGCCTCAAGCACAGCACCTGACACTGGAGCCCTGTGCTGTGCTGGGAACTGGGCAATACCTGCCTTAATTCTGAATGCATTAACAGGGCATGGATTTGCGGGGATGAGGGAACAAGCAGACAGGAAGGATGGAGTTAAAATGGAAGCACAGCTGCACTCATGCCACAGACTTCCAGAGTCACTTTGGGAAAATCACATCACATCCCTTCACACCACGTCCATGGCCAGGCTGGATTGGACCACTATGACCCTCTAATTCACCAGCTGTTGCAGAGAAATATATCCCTGAATTCCCTAGGAAAAGGTCAGATTGAGCCCTAGGGGGTTTATATCCCTGACAGCACATCTGGGGACTACCCAGACTAACTCCTACTCCTCATGCACAGATCCACTTGGCATGGTGGAAGCCACACGTGTTCCCGCAGGAGCACTCAGTGCCATGTCCCATGTTTGCCAGGGAACATTTGGCTGGATGACAGTGGAAACAGGACTTTATCACCAGTGATCGCTGAATAAGCCACCTCCAGCCTTCTGCAGCACCTGAGGCAGAGCCAGGTGGGAGAGGGGCAGGAGATATTGTTTGCTGGTGAAATATTTGTGGTCAGGCTATTCCATACTTGCCAGGTTTTTAAAGACATGGAGTTGTTCTGGGAAGGAGGCCAGAGGCACCCACGAATCCTGGCCCTGAAAACACAAATCAGCTGAAATCAAAAGAAGGCCTAAAGCAAAGAACCAAATCCGTAGCCTCAGATCAGGGGGATCCCATTCCATGGTCCAAACCACTTCCCTACTAGATCACCAGCTATTTTGGCAGCTGCCCAAAGAATTGAACTTTGCTGCTTCTGCAAGAAAGAGCAATGGTGTGTTTTTATTTAGGAAAGAAAGATAAAATAAGACCAGTCCCTTTCCTCTCCATTAGATGATCCGAAGGCACAGGATACCAGCAGATCCACACAGGAGCCAACTCCAGTTCCAAAAAAAAGCTCCACTTGAAGAGCTCAAACCCATTTCCAGCTCATTCATCACATTTAATTGTCACTCCTTAATGACTGCACAGACATTCCTGTGTGCAGCTCTGCTGCCAGGAGAGTTAATGCCGGACAGAGCCGTCAGGGAATGCTCTCCAAGGATATAACCAAAGCCATGCTGCCCTGTCCATAAACATATTTCGGGTTGCTAGAGCAAAGCCAGCATATTCACATATTCACATCCAGGATGAGCTGCAGGAACAGGGACACAGATCCCAGTTGCTTCTCCATGTGCTATAAATAGGAAGAGAGAAAACAGACAAAAGGCCCAGGCGTGCCGGCCATGGCCGGCCGTCTCCATGAGGGCATTGCATCAGCCCAGACCTGCTGGGGAAGCATTCCCTTTATTTTCTTAATAAAAGGCTGTTTTTCAGGTCACCGGAGGCAATAAAACCTCTAGTGCAAGAGAAATCCAGCCAACACGGTTTCCTGGTGCTCCATTCTGCCTGTTGCCGAAGTGGATTCCGTTGTGCAGCCGAAGCACAGTTGGATCACGCTGAGAAAATAAATCTGGCTCCACGTCAGAGTTCAAAGATGCCTTCACAAAGCTGTCAGGGATAAAAAACACAGGGAAGGGGCATATTAACAGCATCTCCCTCCCACCCCAGGGCCTGAACAACGTGTCCCGAGAGCTTTCCAAGCTGCTTTGCCACTGGATAAACTCCGGCAGCTCATGGGCTGGCAGAGTGCGTGATCCAAATATCCTAACGGAGCTGCTAAATCCCTTTGCTGCCCTGTGGGTCCCAAAGAGAATGTCCTGCACTCTGTTTTTCCACGGGAGCTGGCTGTGGGGAAGGAGGACACTGGCACAGACCACATCTGTCACGCTCCATCAGGCTCCACAAATAACAGCTCCTCACCACGGGAAGCTCCCTGCTGCGGGAATGGCTTTGCTTGGGAAGCTGATTATAGAACACAGAAGAACATGCTGAGGGAAGGAAGAGGAACCCATCACAGAGGTAATTGGGATGACCAGGGTGTTTGCCCTTCAATCATGACAATGATTTTATTGCCAGGACACAAAACCCAAGTCCAAGTGCCTCAGAGCAGCAACATCCAGAGCATTGCGGGGTTTGGAACAGCATCAGCCTTTGAAATGATGAAAACTCACTCCAAAGCAACTCCTGAAAGCAGCTGGACCTGAGCAGGAGGGGAAAAAACTGCAGCCACAAAGGAATTCAGGTGCCACAGGCCACTGCTCTTGAAAGGGCTCAGCAATCCCTCCATGCACGCACAAATTAGGGCTTCAAACACCTCCTGTGGAAAGGGGAAGGCAAGGGAGGGTGTGGGGGGGACACATGCTGGGGATCTAAGGGTCAGCAGACCCAGGGATTCACTCAGCTGCATCCAGGTCTTCCTGTCCAAAACAGGGGGATGCCAGAGCATCGTGGGCCAAAGCAGAGCCAGCACAGCAGCAGTACCTCCTGAGTAATTCCTGACAGCTATTCCTGAGCTATTCCCAAGCAAACCTCACAGCTGGCAAGAAAACAACACTTCCTTATTGTGGGAAATGTCAGGGCTGCACAGCCAGTTGTCCTGCTGCTGCAGAACCCTGACAGAATTCTTGGAAAGCACGAGAGGAGCAGCACAGGCAGTGGCTTTGTGACCAGCAGGCAGGGATCAGCACTGGAATTCACTCAGATTCTCAGCAGATGCCCTCTGCTCCGGCTCTCCAGCCTCCCTCCAGGGGGACAGATGCCACAGGGGAGGCCAGAGCCCAGGCCTGGTTCTCATCTGATCCATGTGGATCTTTAACTCTGGGCAAAGCATCTCAGATTCCATCCGAATCCGACGAGATGTTTTGTCCTAACAGATAAATTTCCAACATTAATCAGTACTTAAGGAAAAAAACAAACCTGCTCTGTTGAGGAATTTTTGCTCTGAAAGTATTTAAGTGGTATTTAGCACTGGGAAGACGGTCCACAAATATAATTCCCCGACACATGAAGTGACATGGAGACCCATGACTTCATCCTGGAGAACTGAGGATTCCCATTTCCACTTGGAATGGCAGAAAGTTTAAATTTCCCTGAGGAAAATGTTAAAATAATCCCCTTTTGCCTCAGTCTGAATGAATAATTCCCATCAAACCTGAATGTTTTGCCCTCATTTTGTATTATAAACTCTTCAAACCCAAAGCTTCCTGATACGGGTTGGATTTTCCCTTCCTGCATTTTTCTCCCCCCAAAAATGCTGTGAAACCACTCTAATTTTTTATAGTATCTCACTTGGATCAGAATTACATTCCCAAGGATTTTGGGGGGATCAGTTTTACAGAACTTAAGCCATTTGCTTTACTTTTGACTCCACACTAGCCTCTTCTCTCTGTATCTCTGAGCCCTGAATCTCCTGTTATTTCCAAGTATTTCTTCCTATCTGAGAAGG